CTATATCTGTCTAGGATAGGGGGCGGTCACGGTCTCCCTATATCTGTCTAGGATAGGGGGCGCGGTCGCCCTCTTCCTATATCTGTCTAGGATAGGGGGCGGTCGCGGTCTCCCTATATCTGTCTAGGATAGGGGGCAGTCGCAGTCTTCCTATATCTATCAGGGGTTCTGAACATGAACTGTCAGCTTCACCCACCTGCTGTGTATTTTTACATAATAGTAAATGGAGCTGAAAGAATGCTGAAGCAGGAATGGGTCTCTATTGCAGGGGGTAGCACAACCAATGCACAAAGTACAATAAATGACCATAAATTTCAGCCAATCAAGTTTTAGTTTACTATAATTAATGAGGCCAAAGTTGCATATTTGTATGTTACGTCAATGTGCAATCTGTCGCTGACATTTTTACTGCTTTGTTATATAGGTCTGGTTAGGCAGGCAACTGTCTATAATGTGCTATCATTATTATTATTATTATTATTATAATACAGGATTTATATAGCGCCAACAGATGGTCAGTGGGAAAAATGCTCCTCACTGGTGGTCTGTAGGAAGAATTCCCACCTTGCAGATAGATAAAAAGACTATTGGTTTCAGTGGTTACTTATCTGAGAAGTAGAAAATGCTGTTTGCTCTAAAAATCCTTCCCAACCTCTGGAGGAACCCTCGGGCTCCCCAGAAGTTGCTCTGGAATGGCTGCTGTAGACTGTGATGCACCTTTGACAGGGGCAGTGTCTGACCGGAGGCTAAGTATGTTTACTGAAGTACACAAGCGCCGGCTGCTTAGTACTGGCTAATCCAATGTACTTTAATACCAGTGAAAGTTCATGAGTCATACTATTGATCTGTAATGTGTGTATATAGTTCACTAGCACATTGTAGTTGTAAACCCTTACCCATACTCAATGAAGTGAATGGCTTCAGGTGATACACAGATTAGACAAATTCCTACATAAATTGTTCCACTTTATTTGCAGCCATTTGTCCAGTCCATCCTTGTAAAACTCAGAGATGAAAAGGATTTTTCACTGACTCACAAAGCAAGAGGCGTAGAGCTGAACTCCCTACTGTACTAGAGCTCTAAGAGCTGATTGGAGAAAAAGGACCCCTCCCCATTCACAGAGCACACAGGAACAGAGCTGAGACTGTCAACCACAGGATGTGTGCTGGAGATGTCTCCCCTGTAGCCTTTTGTGGCTTGCTGTCAGGAAACCTTGGCAGGATTGACTGGTGCAGATAACAGAGGAACTAGACAGAAGAGAGAAATGACACTTAGAGAGGTAAGTAAACACATAGAAATATGTGCTTTGTACAGATTTCATGTCTGATGTTTACAACCTCTTTAACTTTCACATGTCTATTGGAATATTTGGTAGACATTTAAAAGGTCAACCTGAAAGAGGAACTACACTGCATCTAAACATCACATACAAAAACACGATTTAATTCATTTTTAATATTGAAAGCAAACTCCCCCATCCATCCATGTCTCCATGCTTCATTTTGCTGAGAAATCATTCTGGCAATTCTGGCTGCTGAGTAATGGAAGATGGATTTACTTCCTGGAATCTGCAATTCATCTGCTTTAGCTAAGAAAGCCCCTCCTCCTGAAGACTCCTGGGATGTATGACATAATTTGCCTAGGCATGGAAACCAGGAAGTAACTGAAGAAATGTAAAAAAAAAGTTTAAAACAAGCAAATATAATATACTTTACTGTTTACTGATGTTAGCAGCTTAAGGATTCTAAATAGTCAATGCTGATTGAGAGAGTTAAGGAGAAACACGTTTCCATACTTTAGAGCAGTCTTTCTCAAACTTTTCAACACAGAGGAACCCTTGAAATAACTTTCCAATCACGAGGAACCCATGCTAAAAATTACTATATACACTATATATTACTATACTATATTATATATTACTATACTATACATTACTATAATCACTAAATAGTACTAGCTCATGATACATTAGTAAGATGGTCATTGGGAAGAAAGTTCCTTACTCTTGGGAAGAAATACCCCCTTACATACAGCTAAAAAGATCAATGCTGTCAGTGGGAACTTATCTGAGAGGTAAACATTGCTCATTGCTCAAGGAACCCCTAGCAACCTCTGGAGGAACCCTGGTTGAGAAACCTTGCTTTAGTGTAGGTTCACAACTATACGTTTTTCTCTGCTTTTTGCAGAAACGCACTATAGTCCATTTAACATGATTTCCTATGGTACATGTTCACATCTCCGCATTTTCACCTGGTGAGTTTTTGGAAAGGGTCAGGGAATTTTTTAAATGCAAAACATTGAGTTTTTGGTTCTATAGACTTCAATGGAGACACTGCAGAAAAGTATATAGTGCATTTTTTATGCTTTTTCCATTTTAATCTGCATAGAAACAAGAAAAACACAAAAAAGAAGAAAATCGCGGCAAAACACGTCAAAAATGAATGTGCAAAAATGCAAAATGCACTGCAAAAATGGATCAAATGCAAACTGCATAGGTGTGAACCTAGCCTTAAAGAGTTGGTAATATATTGTTACAGTCTACTTGTGCAGCACAGTGGCTAAATGGTTAGCACGTCTGTCTAGCAGTATTTGGGTCACTAGTTTGAATCCCAACCACAGCAACACCTGTCTGGAATTTGCATGTTCTCCCTGTGCCTGCGTGGGTTTCCTCTGGGTACTCTGGTTTCCTCCCACATTCAAAATACATGCTGGTAGGTGAATTGACTCCTGTTTAAATTGTCCCTAGTATGTGTATGTATGAATGTGAATTAGGGACCTTAGATTGTACACCCCTTGAGGGTTAGGGACTGATATGAATGTACAATATATATATGTAGAGCACTGTGTAAATTGACATTGCTATATAAGTATCTATAATAAATAATACTGTGAATGAAGTATAAAATATTTAACAAAGTCTGCACTGGAAAATTAGCAATCCATTAGGGTGTAAGAGTATGTCTAATCAGCTGATACAGGAACCATGGTGGCTGCTGCTCTTCTTCTGAGAATACTAGCTCCCTGGCCATTGTGCTGATTTGGTGGCTTCAGTTGCCTATGAATCACAGACTCGGAGCAAGTATGCAAGTCAAGAGTTTTCGTATCTCTCTCACTTCCCTGACAATATTCAACCCAGGAAAAGCCAGGCTCTTAGCATTTTCAGAGGGAGCTCAGCAGTAGCAGTCCCCAAGATTCTCTCAGTACAGGATTCCTTTAACAATACAGTTCCCCATTTTATGGCCAGGTTTATCACTGTAAAGTTTTGTGGCAATGTTAGGTGTGTGCTACAAAAGGCGATTGTTCTGAATGTTAGATTTGGCAGGACACGTTTATGTAAATGATTATATACAGGTGCAGCAGGCAATAACAGAAAGGTGGAGTCCTAGGTACTTTGCTAAGTAATCAACACCGTTCTGTCTGAAAATAACAACATAGAGTTCAGTTGGTGCTTCCAACACTGAGAGAGAGCACAGTTACACCAGCAGAGTACCTCGCTCAGTCTGCTGCGAAAAATCCTGTAGATGCAAAATATTTCTTTTTACAATAGAGAATGAAGTAAAATATATTTATTTAGCCGATAACCCCTCGTAATGTAAATACATGTGAATATCAGAGCAGAAAAGGGCACTTTTGTCTTGTAAAAAGCTACATTTGGCACCCTGTGTGCCCATTCACATGTCAGGGCATTCGCTGGTCATGTGGTCTCTCATAACCACATGACCCAGGAAAGTTCTGCCTGTATGTGAGATCCTCCAAGCCTCTCTATGGGAGACCATGTGGCTAGGCAGCGAAGGGGTGCTAGATTTAGCTTATTAAAAACAGTTTGTCTGCAATACTTGAATTGAGGTCTTCATTGAGTTGTAGTATTGCTTCTTTCCACTGCAATTAGAAAAGCTATTTCAAGGAGAAGTAGGGCCAAAGCTCTTTTGGCAGCACTTCTCCTGTTGGTCACAGGAGTGTGAAAACCTGGTGTCAGCTGGCATCACAGAGCCTGCCCAGGCTCTGCAGGCATCCCAACAATAATGTTGGGATCTGCCCTGAAACCAGACTGGCAGCTGGCTCAGCCTCTCAGTTGCGCTGCTGAGAGCTTGAGCCAGCCGCTCCAGCTGCCTGCACAGCCTGGTGCTCCAGTGAGCACAGGAGGGGCAAAGCAGAGAGCCAGTGACTGTCATCACTCTTCTCACTGAAGACCAAGAACTAAGCTATCAAGTGTCTTTGAACAGTCATTTCTCAATGTAGAGACAGTGGGGGACAGTTGCACCTGGGATCGGTGCTACAGCAATCTTGGTGAGTATTTGTTATTTTCAATTCCCACACTTCTCTACTACCATGGAAGCCAATACTGGGTCACATATCACCAGTGTACCAGCCTGCAACACAAAAAAAAAGGGGAAAAAAAATTATCCAAGTTTTCATTCACTCCCTGGTCAACATGGTCATGTCAGAAAAGCTTTTGACTAGACATTGTAATACTGGTTACCCATGATTGTCACCATTGCTGTATAGGCAGCCAAATGTATGCATTGACTGAAGGGTTAAAGGGGGGCTGAGTCACCCCAGCCCAATAATATTCTTACTTTTTCAGCCAATGGCATGTCCCCTCAGGTTTCTTGTGGCTAGTTTTCAAGGTACTTCTACTAAAGCAAATTCCACCCAACCATAAGAGAACCATCAAACAAAACACATTTCAGAAAGTATTGTAAGGTTATTGAAAACAAAAGAGATCTTGTGAAAATATTTATACACATTTAAAATACATGAAATCTTATATTAAAACATATGTGAATACTCCACTTAAAATAGATCATTTATTTTAAAATATTAATTCATCTGTCTATATACAAAATGTACAAATGGTTTCATTTCCTGAGGTCCGAAACATAATAGCACAGAAGTCTGTGCACTTATTTAAAATGAGTACAGTTCTTCTACCTCAACACTGCAAGGTACAAGAGGTCAGAAAAAGGAAGCAGAAATCTTCCAGCAAGCTGGAACTTTGTCAGTGCTGTTGGCTTGTCCTATTGAAGATGGCCATATCATCCTCAAATGCCAATATGGAATGTTCTGCATTCCCAAGCAGGCTGTGTTGGTCTTCCTGTCCATCAGGTACTGTCTGTTTTTCTTTCTTGATGCTAGAGGTGATCTGACTCCATGTGATATTGGTGTTCTTAAAGGCATGCAGAAGAAAGATGCCAATAATAATGGTAAGGAAGCCACTTAATGTCCCAATCATGTCGCCAATATCCATACTATTCCATTCCTTGAACAAGATCACTGAACAGGTGACCACCATAGTCGTGAAGAAGACATAATATATAGGTGTCACTATAGAGGTATTGAAGATATCCAGAGCTTTGTTGAGATAATTGATCTGTGTACTGACAGATAAAACCAGTGAGGCCATTAAGATGTAGAATAGAGGATTTTTGTAAACTTGTTTCCGTTCAATGAACTCATGGATGGAGATTCCCAATCCTTTCACAGATGATACAGAAAAAGCACCAATTATAGAGCAAATGGCAATGTAAACTAGGATGTTGGTTTGACCTTTTTTGGGGGCAACAAGTACTATTAGGACCAGGGAAGCCACAACAGACACTGTAGCAAAAGCAATGAAACCTGTTAGAAAAAAAAAAGAGATTGAAATGAATATACTTAAATATTTGAACAAGCTGGAAAATCTGCCTCATTAAAAACATGGTTAGGGCTTAATGTTTAATTATAACAGAAAGCGCATAATACATGCAAACAGTAAGATGCCTGACCTGTCTTAAAATCAGGTGGTTTGATACATGGCGGTGAACAATTCTGCAATTCTAGATCATGTGGGGGACTGGCATGTAGCCACATATGCAGGATTATAAAGTTGGCATGTGAATGGATTTTCTATCTTGCCCAACCAAGATCTGAGTAGGTATGTGTCAGGTAGGAAAATGATGGCCATCTCTAACATTGTCAGTTAAACGTGTCTTTAACTCTTCTAATATGCCTAGAAACGCCTATGTGTGCATGGACACATAGGCTTACATAGAGGTGCTTTTAGATGCTGAAAAAAAAGCAAAACGGCCTGAAAAATCAACATTTTTAAAATCCCAGTGTACATGAGGTCTAAAAACATTATAAGTGACAATCAGCCTGGATTTATGAAAGACCATTCTTGTCAGACCAACCTGTTATCGTTCAGTGAGCAAGTGAGAAATTGCATGGTGGACGTCCAGTGGATGTAGTTTATCTATATTTTCCTAAGGCATTTGATGCTGTATCTCATAAAAGTTTCATCTATAAAATAAGGTCTGTTGGGGTTATTGAAATTGTATGTACATGGATAGGAAATCTGGTAGTAGCGATAAAGGACTCATTCTCTGAATGGTTTACATTTTTGACTGGTGTGCCCCAGGGTTCTGTCATGGGGGACATGCTGTTCAGTTTCTTTATTATTGATATAGAGGTTGTAGTCAAGAGCTCAATTTCAGTGTTTGCTGATGATACCAAAGGATCTGGGGGGTGATTTTAGATCACAGACTTAACAACAGCATGCTATGCCAAGCCACAGCTAGCAAAATATTCTAATGCATTATTAAGGACATACATTCCAGAGATAAATCAATAATTCCCCTTTACAAAACACTGGTTCGGCCTCATCTTGAATATGCAGTTTGGTTTTGGTTACCAATCTTCAGGAAAGACTTTGTTAATTCAGAGAGTTCAGTGGAAGGCAACATAATTAATGAGGGGGGTGTGAAGGACCTCAATTATGAGGATCGATTACATAGATTACATTTATACACTCTGGAGAAGAGCCACTTAAGAGGGATCTGATTACAATGTACAAATATCTCAAAGGTGACTCCAGTAACTGGGATACACTGTTTACTCTACCATCCCTGATGAGGTTAGAAGAAAGGAAGTTTAACCTTACATTTCAGAAAAGGGTTCTTTACAGTTAAAGCAGTTAATATGTTGAGCTACCCTAGCAAGTGGTACTGGCTGAGATTTTCAACAATTTACAAAAACTTTTAGTTGGCTTAATCAGGAAGCAGAATATACAGGACTATGGGAATTAAGAGAATACAAATTACACACACATGGGCTGAACTGGATGGACAGGTGTCATTTTTCAACCATATAAAGTATGTAAATATACAATTTGTCACCACTTTATCCTACTAAAACATTTTGGCTAGAGATACAAAAGAATAGTGATCAAAACATCATGACTGCTGTTAAGTGCTGTTAGCAGAATGTTTTACACTAGCATAGAAAAAGTTTGCAATACTTTGCCTAATGTGAATTAATCTGGCTGAAAGTGTCAGTGATTGAAAGGATGACATTTCTATTCCAGTCTTTCCTTCTTCCAGGGAAATACGGTATATTCTATCCTAGCCAGTAAGTAATTCTGGGGTTAGTGCGTAAGGATTTTTTTTTTTCTTGCATTATTGTTTACCTGCAACCAATTTGCAACCAATACATTGGTGTAAGAAAATAAATACAGAAATTTAGAGGTGCTTACTCATACTTTTCATTGGGTTCCAGAGTGTCCCAGAAACCTCTTGGGTTTTCCATGCAAATACCAACTTTTGTGTCTGAAGTCTAACCTGGATCCTCTTCTTTTTTACTTATGCCACTGACTGCTCATTATAGTTATAGATCAATACTAAGGCGTGGAATGGCATTGGTTCAAGTTTGATATCAGCAGCTGAATTATCTGTCCAAGGACTACCAGAGTCCTTTGGAAACCATCTAAGAATATGTGTATGTACCTCTGCATTTTATTTTTCTATCACATTTTTTATAACTGAAAGTTGTAATTATTTTTTAAACTGTGTACACCAATGCATTCTTAAACAGAGGTTACAGTCCAATCAGAAAACTCTTCAATTATTTTAGCAACAGGTCTTTTTTAAGCAATTCACAATCTTGTTTAAATTTCTGTAACTGGAAGAACTGCTACCATGCCAGTCAGACAACCTTTTAAACCAGTCCCCCATAATCTGTTAAAAAAAAACAGTCCCCCAGAATTATGGGGAAGAGTTACTAAAACTGGAGCACTCAGAATCTGGAGAAGTTGTGTGCACAGTAACTAATCACCTTCTAACTTCAGCTTGTTCAGTTAAGCTTTGGCAATAAAACCTAAAAAAAAAAAAAAGCTTTGCACCAACCTGGAAATTTTGCACCATGACGTTTTCGTAAATAATCCCCTATGTGTTTGCGCCGATTTTTATGAATCATTAGGAGTCAGTGACAGTCATGAAGTCATTATGCTCTCCCCCATTATTGCATATGGTTTCATTTAGACCTGACCAGTTATGATATGTGAGGAAAGGGGGGGGGGCTGAAATACCACGTACACTATATTGCCAAAAGTATTGGTCTGCCTGCCTTTACACGCACATGAACTTTAATAGCATCCCAGTCTTGGTCCGTAGGGTTCAGTATTGAGTTGGCCCACCCTTTGCAGCTATAACAGCTTCAACTCTTCTGGGAAGGCTGTCCACAAGGTTTAGGAGTGTCTATGGGAATGTCTGACCATTCTTCCAGAAGCACATTTGTGAGGTCAGGCACTGATGTCGGACAAGAAGGCCTGGCTCACAGTTTCTGCTTTAATTCATCCCAAAGGTGTTCTATCAGGTTGAGGTCAGGATTCTGTACAGGCCAGTCAAGTCCCTCCACCCCAAACTCGCTCTTCCATGTCTTTATGGACCTTGCTGTGTGTACTGGTGCGCAGTCATGTTGGAACAGAAAGGGGCCATCCCCAAACTCTTCTCACAAAGTTGGGAACATGAAATTGTCCAAAATGTCTTGTAATGCTGACGCCTTAAGAGTTTCCTTCACTGGAACTAAGAGGCCAAGCCCAACCCCTGAAAAACATCCCCACACCATAATCCCCCCTACACCAAACTTTACACTTGGCACAGTGCACTCAGGCAAGTACCATTCTACTGGCAACAACAAACGCAGACACATTCATCAGATTGCCAGACAGAGAAGCTTGATTCCTCACTCCAGAGAACACGTCTCCACTGTTCTAGAGTCCAGTGGCGGTGTGCTTTACACCACTGCATCCGACGCTTTACATTGCACTTTGTGATGTAAGGCTTGGATGCAGCTGCTCGGCCATGGAAAACCCATTCCATGAAGCTCTCTACGCTCTGTTGTTGTGCTAATCTGAAGGCTACATGAAGTTTGGAGGTCTTTAGCTATTGACTCTACAGACAGTTGGTGACTTTCACGCACTGTGTGCTTCAGCATGCGCTGACCCCTCTCTGTCATTTTATGTGGCCTACCACTTCATGGTTGCTGTTATTTACTGTTGTTCCCGGGTAAAATCAACTTTGTTATAATACCACTAACAGTTGACTGTGGAATATTTAGTAGCAAGGGAATTTCACGGATGGACTTATTGCACAGGTGGCAACCTATCACAGTACCACACTTGAATTCACTGAGCTCCTGAGAGCGATCCATTCTTTCTCAAATGTTTGTAGAAGCAGTCTGCATGCCTAGGTGCTTGATTTTATACACCTTTAGCCATGGAGGTGATTGGAACACCTGAATCCAATGATTTGGAGGGGTGTCTTAATACTTTTGGCAATATAATGTATATCCTAAGTTTCTTTCACATGTATAAAAAGGGTTCCCTTACACAGATGTGAAGATCCAAGATGTCAGTTACTTTGACAGGGGTAAGTGGCTGTCTCTGAACCTTCATTTACTTCTACGAGGATTAAATGCTTCTACATGACAGATGACAGTCTAGGTTTGGGCACAGATGGACCAAACAAAATGCATTTTCAGCCTGCTGATGTATAGATCTGCATTACCATGCCATGCACTCTACAGGATCTTTCATTTATATTGATCAATGGAATTATGAAGACATTCAGGACTCCACTTAGAGGAAAAATGCTGGTCTGAAAATATTTATATCTATGTAAGAGCACCTTAATCATGGAAACATTATAAAAGTGTTTTCTACAGCAAGGGATTTCATTAAAAATATGCTGTGTATTCAGTATTCATAGAAAGGCTAAATTCACCCAAAAAACTTGTGGTTAGCTTAGAATTCACAATAATTGCTTTAAATTTGCAATGATATTTGAAATACCAACCTGGATCCCTTAGTTTTATTTCTAGAGCATGCAGAGATGTGACCTCTTCCTCTTGAGGGGCATGTATGACCATCATGGTTGAACCAAGAATACACAGAAGACATCCAAGCTTCCCATGTATGTTCAGTTTTTCATTCAGGAAATATGAAGACAGAATTGCACTGCAGAGACAGAGCAGGTTATAGATTAAAGTGCAAGATAAATAGTCAATTTATTAGAAGTATTCAGCTTGAAATAAACCTGTAAAGACCTAAGCAATTCAGAGTGCGAATATAAAAAAAAAAAAAGCACACAGGCAGATATAACCTCCTGTAAAGTTTGAGTTTGAACCTGAACATCCCTGACCCCTGAACCTCCCTATTGCTCCTCTAGTAAGGTAAGTGGCCTCACTGGTCAACAAGGACTCTAAGCTGAATCCACTGATTTTGTAACATACTTTTATTACATGATATTTAGGTGCACTAAAAGCCACTGTACATCATTAATGTGCACAGTGAGAATCATTCTGGGTGCAGCCTGATGGCATTATACCCTGGGGGACACTATGGAAGAAACCAGAGCTAGGAATACTAAGGAAACAATTAATAAAGGGAGATTTTACATCCTTTGTTGTTTCCTATGTGTCCATGCTGGCATGAATGACCAGGAGTTTGGGTGGACACAACTTCCTCAGGTCTGTACACATCCAAAAAGAATACAATTCTCACAGATAAAAAAATCAAGATACAAAATGTTGTGTGTGTACATGTTATGGTTATCAAGGTTATTTACATCACTGAAATCCATACTTACCATATAAGAACACTCAGTGCACCTAGTGGGGTCACTAAAGTGGCTGGTGCAAATGCATACGCAGCAAAGTTCGCAGCTTCTCCTGCCCCCACTAGCAATAAAAAATGAGATTGTTATATAAGAACACAGCATTATGTTAACAGTTCATATTAATGTAATTATAAAATGTAAAAAGAAAAAGATAGTTGGATTTTAAGCACTCCCCACACAGCATATTTTGAAATGATTTTTATTATTACATAATACTAAAACCGTAAGATTGCAGGTAAAACAGAAAAAAAAGTTGAAACCTGATATATAGGACAAGATTGTACATAAACCACTGTTCTTTGCATCACCACAGTTTGTATACATTTAATTTATGGTCTAACCTATCCATTAACATTTGGGTTACATTGTCATGGCAAGTGGTGAGATGATGGATGGGTTTGAACATATAGAGCAGTGTTGTTGGTCATGTAAAGAACGGTGGATTGTATAGGATCCTGAGTCGATGTATTTTTTGTTTTATGGTCTAGATCAGGGGTATCCAAACTGTCTTGTAAACAAAGGGACAGTTTACTGTCCTTCAGATTTTGGGGGGCCGAACTGTGGCTATTGGGAGTAGAAAACGTCCCAACATCAGTGAGAATAGACAATGCCCCATCTTTGGTGTCAGTGGGATGGATTGTGCCGCATTTTTGGTATCAGTGGGAAGAATTGGGACCCATTGTTTGCGTCAGTGGGAGGAACTGTGCCCCGTTGTTGGTGTCATTGGGAGGAATTGTACCCCATAGTTGTTGTCATTGGGAAGAATTGTGTTCCATCGTTGGTGTCATTGGGAGGAATTGTGCCCCATCATCGGTGTCATTGGAAGGAACTGTGCCCCTTAGTTGGTGTCAGTGGGGGGGAATTATGCCTCATCGTTGGTATAGTACCCCAAGAGCTGGAAAAAAGCAAGCAAAGGGCCGCAGTTTGGAGACTACTGGTCTAGATAAAAGATAAAATAATGAAAATATTGATATGTAGATTTCTTGTGTATGGTAACCTTAAAGTTCGACTCCTTTTTTTTCCTAATGTTTCACTAAATATATGGATGTGGTATTAATCCAGCCTATATTATTATATACAATAATTATGTTAAAATCAATGTGAACCCAAAAGTACTATTAATAAGATATGAAGCAGTACTGTATGTCTAGCTTTACTATTTGAAAAAGCAAATAAACACAAGCATTCCAATGTTCACCGATAGTAATATGTGAGAATAAATGTAATCAAAGCAGGGAAGGCACTGAGGACACACGGTGCATTGTTCTGTCTCCTCCCAAATGAATGCTCACTTCTATTCACGCATGTACTGAACCCCCAGTTCTCATTTAGTTGGCTCAGCCATAAGTAAATCATTATTGCATTGATTTTCTCAGGAGACAAAGAATTGTTTGACTTACTTGAGAGAAGCCCGGCCCACCAAAGCCATTCCTTCAGGTATGAGAATCCACCCTGCCCTGGAACAAAATATTATTATCATTAGACAGACACTTCACTGAAATACATATTGTATTACGAGACAAGGCACTGTCAAATAATGTACACTTCACATTAAATACTCAATCATAGCTAATGGCAGAAAGTAATACTCCAATCAATAATGATACTTAAAGTGTTACTAAACCTCCAACAGTAAAATCAGTCTGTATATGCAGTAAAGCATGCTTGTTATACTCACTGTGGAACTTAGGGGGTTAATCCCCCACTGTGTAAAAAGGCTGTTTGAACCTGTCTTCTCTGATCCTCCCCTTCTTTCACAGTCACCAATTCATCTGCTGATAGTACAGAGCCCTAGGAGTCACTCTGCACATGCTCAGTTTGGTGTGTATTGCAAGAGTGATTTTTTTTTTTTGTGGAGGGAGAGTGCATGTGATCGACACAGGGTCAATCAGCACTGTTCAGGGGTCATGGATCATGCAGCCTCATAGGACAGTCAGAGGAGAATGAAAACTCCTCCTGCAAGATTAACTAGGGAGAGTGAGGGGGGGGGGGGGGGGGAGAGAGAGAAATTGAAAACAGAATGCTATTCCTGCAATACTAGTTGGAACAGTCTATAGAAAAATTATTGATCCAGGGAGGACATAGTGCTCTGCTCTATTTATATTCACAGTAATTTTTTCTGCTCCTGCCTGCTGATCAAAGGATGTCTGGTAACTGAGATACAGCCTAACGAGCTCCAGATTCTATGTAAATAAATGATCCAGTGGCAGAATAGTCCGATGAGTCTTGATTCCCCCAGAGATGAGCAGTTTTTGAAATACTTAAACCAGCCTGTCTTGTACCAACAGCTATGCCACATTCAAAGTCACTTAAATCCGCTTTCTTTCCCATTCTGATGCTTGGTTTGAACTTCATATAGTGGCCGATGAGTGTATATCCCTTATATACAGCACTTGGTGATCACATGTTTGGTATAGAAACCTCTGGAAAAAAAAGAGGCCTGCAAAGGGCACATGCTCTGCCAAGTAGGTCCCTATGCTGTCCTTGTGCTACTAGCTGCAAAGAACTTATGTGCAATGAAGATACAATACATAAACTAATAAAAAAAAGTATACCCTACTTGGATAAAGTGGGGATTAGACATTCAACTGACCATAGAAATCAAAAATTGTCACAGATTGGCCTATATATAATTAAAACATCTCTTGCCAGCCAAAGCTAACTTAGTAACATAGCGCATTCCAAATTGGCAAAAACTATATCCAAGTCATTCTTCAGAATGTTTCAGTGTGATTATGGATAAACAATGTACCATACTTGGTGGCAGTGTTCCATTATTAAACACGTCTGGAAAAGAATGTATGATCTTATTTTACTCTATAGCTGAAGAATAACTGGAATGCCAAAATACTCGCAATCTCTGACATTCTACGTCTTATGATGTCAATTGCTAGATCCTAGAAATCTTCAACAATTATTTTGATTTTATCTAAAAAATAAACTTTCATGGATTATGATTCTTTAAAAAATGGTGAGCTTTTATATGAAAGATTATGAGAGTTTGAGGTTCAGATTTTTTGAAAAGGTTACGTGCAGTGATATATGACATCCCGGGATTTCCTGTTTTTTGGGTTATTTGAGGTTTTACAGAAAACGTGACCTTTAGTGAGCATAATAAAAGGTGATTTCCTGTTTTAATGGGTTAATTTAAGAATGAAAATGAACCAAAATGAAAACGTTTTGCCTTTAGTGAGCAGTAATAAAGGTGACAAGAATGTGCAGAGTGGTAATGAAGGTGAACAGAACATGCAGAGCGGTAATGTAAGAAAGGGTGAAAGAACGTGCAGAGCGGTAATGAAAAAAGAACGTGCAAAGTGGTAATAAAGGTGATAACGTGCAGAATTTAATGCAGAAATGAAAAAAAAATGAAACAAGAATATGAAAGGTGAAATGCAGAGTGGTAAAAGAAGGTGACCAAAACATGCAGGTGCCAAGAAAAGAGAGGTAATGAAGGTGAACAGAACATGCAGAGTGGTAATGAAGGTGAACAGAACATGCAGAGTGGTAATGAAGGTGAACAGAACGTGCAGAGTGGTAATGAAGGTGAACAGAACGTGCAGAGCGGTAATGAAGGTGACAAGAATGTGCAAAGCGGTAATAAAGGTGCCAAGAACGTGCAGAGCGGTAATGAAGGTGAACAGAACGTGCAGAGCGGTAATGAAGGTGAACAGAACATGCAGAGTGAAGGTGAACAGAACATGCAGAGTGGTAATGAAGGTGAACAGAACGTGCAGAGCGGTAATGAAGGTGACAAGAATGTGCAGAGCGGTAATGAAGGTGCCAAGAACGTGCAGAGTAATGAAGGTAATGAAGGTGATAAGAATGTGCAGAGCGGTAATGAAGGTGAACAGAGAACGTGCAGAGTGGTAATGAAGGTGACAAGAATGTGCAGAGCGGTAATGAAGGTGACCAAGAACTTGCAGAGCGGTAATGAAGGTGAATGTGCAGAGGGTAATGAAGGTGAGCAGAACGTGCAGAGGGGTAATGAAGGTGACAAGAACGTGCAGAGCGGTAATGAAGGTGAACAGAGAGCGGTAATGAAGGTGCGGTAATGAAGGTGAACAGAACGTGCAGAGCGGTAATGAAGGTGAAAGAACGTGCAGAGCGGTAATGAAGGTGAACAGAACGTGCAGAGCGGTAATGAAGGTGAACAGAATGTGCAGAGCGGTAATGAAGGTGACAAGAACTTGCAGAGCGGTAATGAAGGTGACAAGAACTTACAGAGTGGTAATGAAGGTGACGAGAACTTGCAGAGGGGTAATGAAGGTGACGAGAACTTGCAGAGTGGTAATGAAGGTGAACAGAACTTGCAGAGGGGTAATGAAGGTGCCAAGAATGTGCAGAGCGGTAATGAAGGTGAACAGAACGTGCAGAGCGGTAATGAAGGTGAACAGAACGCGCAGAGCGGTAATGAAGGCGACAAGAATGTGCAGAGCGGTAATGAAGGTGACAAGAACGTGCAGAGTGGTAATGAAGGTGACAAGAACGTGCAGAGCGGTAATGAAGGTGACAAGAACGTGCAGAGTGGTAATGAAGGTGACAAGAACGTGCAGAGCGGTAATGAAGGTGAACAGAAACTTGCAGAGGGGTAATGAAGGTGACAAGAACTTGCAAAGGGGTAATGAATGTGACCAGAACTTGCAGAGCGGTAATGAAGGTGAACAGAACTTGCAGAGCGGTAATGAAGGTGACCAGAACTTGCAGATCGGTAATGAAGGTGAACAGAACTTGCAGAGCGGTAATGAAGGTGACCAGAACCTTGCAGATCGGTAATGAAGGTGAACAGAACTTGCAGAGCGGTAATGAAGGTGAACAGAACTTGCAGATCGGTAATGAAGGTGACCAGAACTTGCAGATCGGTAATGAAGGTGAACAGAACTTGCAGAACTTGCAGAGCGGTAATGAAGGTGACCAGAACTTGCAGAAGGTGAACGGTAATTGAAGGTGAAGGTGAACAGAACTTGCAGAGCGGTAATGAAGGTGAACAGAACTTGCAGAGCGGTAATGAAGGTGACCAGAACTTGCAGAGCGGTAATGAAGGTGACCAGAACTTGCAGAGCGGTAATGAAGGTGACCAGAACTTGCAGAGCGGTAATGAAGGTGACCAGAACTTGCAGAGCGGTAATGAAGGTGAACAGAACTTGCAGAGCGGTAATGAAGGTGACAGAACTTGCAGAGCGGTAATGAAGGTGACCAGAACTTGCAGAGCGGTAATGAAGGTGACCAGAACTTGCAGAGCGGTAATGAAGGTGACCAGAACTTGCAGAGCGGTAATGAAGGTGACCAGAACTTGCAGAGCGGTAATGAAGGTGAACAGAACATTGAGAGCGTGAAGGTGACCAGTGCAGAGCGGTAATGAAGGTGACCAGAACGTGCAGAGCGGTAATGAAGGTGACCAGAACTTGCAGAGCGGTAATGAAGGTGACCAGAACGTGCAGGGCGGTAATGAAGGTGACCAGAACTTGCAGAGCGGTAATGAAGGTGACCAGAACTTGCAGAGCGGTAATAAAGGTGACCAGAATGTGCAGAGCGCTAATGAAGGTGACCAGAACTTGTAGAGCGGTAATGAAGGTGACCAGAACTTGAAGAGCGGTAATGAAGGTGACCAGAACTTGCAGAGCGGTAATGAAGGTGACAAGAATGCGCAGAGCAAGCATGTTGTTAAAAAGAAAGTGCAGAGTAGTAATGAAGGGGACCAGAAGCAGCACCCCAGCATAACTGTAACGAACAGAGTGTTGAATGTGATAAACAATAACTTGGTCTCTAATTTCTGGAAGGTTGTGCAGCGCAGGAAAAGACAAGTGACATTGGACAGACTTTTCACCAAAACTGAGCCTGCAGCTAAGAGACAAAGAAGAGAATAAACTCCTGAAGGAGATCTCCCCAATGTCCTTACGGAGGGGGCTCTCCCTCCGAACAATAACCGCCTCCCACCCACCTTCCTGTCCTCCACGCCAGAAGTCGCCTCAAGCTAATTTAGTGTTCTCTCTCTTCATGCTGTACTGTACTGTACTTTGTTTCATATTTCTGTGGTTCAAAAACAAAAACAAGTTCAGAACAGATTAACCTTATTTACATTGAACCTTATGTGAAAATTTGATTCGGTTGGCGACCAAATTCAGTTCACGACCACGTTCGTAGGGGTCAAAACGAATTAACCTGATTTATATTAAACACTATGGGAAAATTTGCCTCGGTTTGCAACCAATTCGGGGAACGAATTAAGTTTGTGAACCAAGGCATTACTATACTGTAAAAACACTAATAAAACACTAACGCTCCTAAATGCTTCTTTATGCTATTGCTTTTTTATCCAGCATTTTTTTCCAACATTTTTTTGGCTTAAAAAAACCCGCTAGTGTAGAACCTAAAGCCTTTAGACAGATCTACGATGTGTGGCCATAAAAGTTTAGTTTAATAAGAATGTCAGGGCCAAGAAAGAAAAAAAAAATAGAGA